ACCTATTTCCCTGATGTCCGGCCTTACCCCGTTACACCAGGCACCTAGTATATTAGGGCAGGCACGCGTATGTATTTAGTTGTGTCTCTATAGACTGTTTTAGTACTTATATATTATTATTATTATTAAATACGCCGTAGGCTCGAAGCCCCCGGTACCTCTACTAGTACTCCCGTATGTCAAACCGTGCCCTAATGGCTGGACTAAATACATACGCTGCGTCGTCGGTTCGCCCTATTGGCGACTGCGTTGCGTTCACTACCATACTACGTTGGTTCTCAACCTACCAACAAAGCCCCCCCTGAGAAGATCGATGCTATCTGGGCCTTGAAGCTGTCCGACCCGTCCCTAGCAGCCACCTTACAATAGTCCCACTAACTACTGGTTCTCCTGTTGCCGTTGCGAGGTCTCTGCGAGAGTATAGTGGCCGTGGTGCGATAGCGGCCCGTAATCGTTCCCTCGGTCCTTCCAACAGCCCGCAAAAGAGGATTACGTGCTCTGCCGTCTCAGGGGCGTCGCCACAGCGGCATAGCGGCGAGTACACGCCAAAAGCCCCTGTCTTGAATAAGAAGGCTGCTAGTCCTATTTTTTCCGTCCTGATCTGGCACAGCGTAGACGCTTCCTGATACGAAAAGGTAGGGGGACCCACTGGTTTGGTGAATCCCATTCAATTAGATACTATAACGTTGCGCACTGCTGCATTATAGCATCCTTCCCCCTAGGTGCACGCATCACTTCCAGTCGGTTCAGGCCGAAATACTTGCCCCCTTTCGGTATCTGCATCGAAGGGCCCTCCGGTTCCTCAGCGATGGCGCGTCGCTGGCGATCGTGATGCTCTGCTCCGGTGAGCCATCTCTTCCTCCAGTGGCCGAGGAGGGCAGCCGGGACCTCCTTTTCCTCACTCATCCACTCGGAGCCCCGGGCCTCCTTCTCCATAGTGTACCCTGCCGGTCGGAGTAGCTGCGACGCCTGCTTCCTCTTCGCCGGCCTATCCTGCCGGAGTATATGTGACGCTTTAGCGCTGGCGCTGCGAAGCAGATTTCTCTTCCCGCTAAGCCGTAGCCGTTCTTCAAACTTAGCAGCCCGGGCACTAAGATAGAGGTCTAGTGGAGGGATTGCTGCTTCTGCTTCCAGGTGGCGAACCGGCGTCGCTTTGTGGGCGCCACAGACTACCCGGAGGCACTCGTTCTGTATCCCCATCAGGTTCTTAGCTGGCCCTGCCGGTTCCTCACTTATAGTATGCCACGCAGTCGCCCCGAAGGCGATCGCGCTACGGATAACCACCGTATATAACAGCCTCGCCCGTATAAGATCGCAGCCCCACGACATATTGACTAGCTTTGTCAGGGCTAGCTTTTGAGTTGCCATTTTTGTTTTAACACGCTCAACATGGGCGTGCCACGTCAGTTTGCGGTCGAACCAGACTCCTAGGAACCTGGCTGAGACTACCGGCGACACTGTGGCGTCCCCAAGGCGAATACTTTGCGGCAAGGGCTCTCTGGCCCTAGTAAAGTGCATTAGCTCACTCTTGTCAGGAGCGAACTCCATCCCGTGCCTCACTGCCCACCGCTGACACGTAGCCCATGCACTCTCCAACCGGCGGCAGGTCGTGTCTGGATCGGTGCCGACGCTTAGCAGGTTCGTGTCGTCCGCGAACCCGACTACTAAAAGTAGTGGGTACTGCTCCGCTAGCTCCTCGTACAGCGTTGAAATGTATAATATAAACAGTATCGGGGATAGCGGTGACCCCTGGGGGACGCCAGCTCGTAGGGGGATTGGCTCTGACTCCTTGCCATCGAACCGGAGGCGTACCGTCCTATCCTCCACGAAGCTGCGTACCCACTCCTGAACCCACTCCGGGTAGCCTTTCCGGGCTAATATGGAAATCAGCCGTCTGTAATTGACCGTATCGAATGCCCCCTTGATGTCTAGCTGTAGCAGCGAGGCGATGCCCCCGCGTCTCCACGCCGTATAGACCACGTCCTCAACTATACGTATTGCCAGTTCGGTGGACCTCCCAGCGCGGTTACCCATTTGGCCGTTGTCACGACCTGGGTTGCATCGCATTGGTAGAGACCTCGATTAGGTGCTATCGACGAAGATTCTACTCTAAGGAGCGAAGGAAAGAAGATGACAACTTAGGTTTGAGGGAGCGCGACTAAGTCGTCCACGCTTGGCGGGCTCCAACAGGGGTTATGATTGGCTTCCCATCTGGCACTGCCATGACAGGTGTTCCAGCTGTAAGTCACCTGGTTGTAGTGAGTCTGCGAGGGTTGACCTTCACAGTAGGTTGAGAACCAACGTAGTATGGTAGTGAACGCAACGCAGTCGCCAATAGGGCGAACCGACGACGCAGCGTATGTATTTAGTCCAGCCATTAGGGCACGGTTTGACATACGGGAGTACTAGTAGAGGTACCGGGGGCTTCGAGCCTACGGCGTATTTAATAATAATAAAAATAAAATAATATTAAATACGCCGTAGGTGTTAACCCTCGGTACCTCTACAAGTACTCCCTTAAGGGGCTATAGATGATATAGCGGGCCCTTAAGCCGCGTCGGGCGGTTATACAGGTAAACTTGTAGCCAAATGACTACTAAACCTCCTGTCCCTCCCTAAGTCTGTGCTACAACCCCTGCCTGAACTACCGATAAGTGTGGTAATGTGGCACTTAAATTCGTCCTCAGGGGTGGGATGCTGCTGATGTGCAGAAGATGCTCGACTATTTTTTTGTCGCGACAAGTCGTAGTATCTGCTAATTGGGGTTCTCGTCGAGCGTATACATCTCAACCATACGCTCAAGTGGATAGACCGTAACGTGGTCAGACGCTCGCAAGAATCGCGGCGAGAGGGCGTGCTGCGCACCTTCTATCGTGAGGGGACGGGTTCGCCGACGAGCGTTATCGGAAAGGCGAGGTCCGATAAGGGGTCGGATTAACGATTCGAATTCTGGACCGGCTGTCGAGTTATATTCCGCCGACGTAGTGCTTGACGGTCGACTGGCTAGGATGCTCGTAATCCTAAACTGCACCAATCTCCCTATTATCGCTAGGTAGGCGAAGTCAACAAGGTGGGCAGCGCGCCGTAAGGGTTGACTAAACCCCCTTGTGTGTCAGCTGCGGGATTCGAACCCGCGACTCGTCACCGACCCAAGTGGGCGAGGCTCAAATCGGGACTTATCTACCAGCGAAGTGACCAACTACACCAGCCGACTAATAATAATAATAATAATAATATTTTCTTTCGCCACTCTTTGACGCCAGGGGCGCTTAGGAAAGTAGGCTAGTGATTGGAATCTTAGCATGCGGTAGCCCAGCTTTTGAGAAGATGTGACCGTGGAAGTTGATTTGAAGCTCTAGTAAACATGTTGTCCAAACGCTACACAAGATTCGCATCAAACAGTAAACTCGGCTACTCAGTCTAAGTGATAGAGTGCCTATCTCAATAGCACAAATGGCTTTATTATTCACAAGACCGAACATAATCACCATATTAAGCCTCAAATTATCAAAAGTCGCCCCTATAGATTTTGCTGTGTTTGAAATGTAGGAGGATTTGAGAGCCTTTAATCAGTATAAATAACATGACAATGCTGGATTCGACTTTCGAATTCTTCTTGTTTGTGAGTATCTCTATCAGTTTGTAGCAGCATTATATCTAACAAGCACAATTAGCTCTACTGTGGATCATTATCGTCGGAAAGAGGTTCTATCTTGGTACTTGTGCAACTCAGACGTCTTGTGATAACAAAGGTCTCTATCCAAGGGTCAGATGGTCTTTAAGTCGCGTCGACAGCAGCTGCATCCGGCGCTGTACGTTGGTAGAAGTCACACTTGATCAAGAGGTTATTGAGAATTTATTGAATACAGATAATAGAGCAACTCATATGGTTCCAATCCGGCCTGTCTGCCAATGTTAAGGATCTTACGGCTTTGGACGCAGGTACAACAAAATTACAACCAACTGCGATTTCGCTACTTTGCACTTACATCACTATATGTACTGTACCATGGTGTGAAATATACGATTGGACAGTAATGACTGTCTTTGATGTGGCTGGTGTTTTGACCTGTGGAAGATCAGCATGGGTCTTACAACAGTTAAGAGGATAAAACAAGGACCTGCTTCGAGATGCATGTCAAATACTGGGTACATGCAGGCGACCTGCGACGACAAGCCTTTGGAGGCTTTCAGCCGCGTACCAAGTCGGCGCTACATTCTGTCCATCATGCTTTCCCAAAGCACGAATATTCATATTTCAGAAGCGTCAAGTGTGTCAGCTAGCCATGAATGGACTAGACACATGGCACTGATAATACCAATCAATGGGATGGAGACACCACATGGTACATCTTTCTAGGGCATGTGGCTAGAGAAAGATAATGTAGACAGCCTCGAGTAACAGGGTATGCTTTTGATGCACGTTGGAATGTATTTAATTATATCTTATGGCCTTCGACAACTGGCACTATCATTCTCAGCATCTATCAGGGGTTGTTAATGAAGCTTTTTTGTGACGAACCCCGAACCTTCAGCCACCATTGTCTGTCTTTTTTTTTCTTTTTTTCTTTTTTCCCTTCCTTTTAGCCCATTGTTTCTCTAGCTTGCTGGGGTTGCGAAGCAGTGAGTCCGTGGTTATCTTGTTCATTTCTAGATTTTATTTACCATAATGCTTGCATTAGATTCGACGCCTTCTTTGAGAGTGCTTCATAGTCTGAAACCGAGCTATAAATGTTGAACTATGACCAAATGGCAGGAGCGTTTATTTTTTGGCTAAGGCTATCATGCCTGGATATATTGCTGGAGAGCGTGTCCTGTGAATGCAGGTTCGTGCGGGCTCTTCGGATTAATCTACTCAAAGGCGACACGCATCGCATCACCAAGGTTATTCTGTCGGATCACATGCTGGCTTACCCAAAACCTTGCCCCGGCATTCCAGACCTGTTCTGTCTGATTTGAAACATGATATATCCTTGGACTTGGCCGCGGGAGCACCACGCCCCAATTGTCAGCTACCGGTATGGATCTGATCCGTGTGCAAGCAGGTGGGTACCAGTGCCGAACCCGAAACGAATCTCAATTTTGACTAGCCATTGCATAAGCAAGTCCTGATACAGCATCTTAAGGTGATCACATAGCCCGCAGCAATAAATAATATATCGTTGTATCCACCTACCACACGCCAGACTCCAGCCAATAAGGGCACAATATGGCGGTACAGCTCAGGTTCGTCCAGTCCATGACGATAGTAATTTTCACAGCTTCATCGCACACAATCCCATACTCCCACTCATCACAGTGCTTCAACAGCCTTGAAGAACGGATTGCTCATCAGCGTCGCATCCGCCTTGACGAGCTCTCTCATTTTGCTGAGCATCTGCTCCCGACTCATATTCCCCCCTTCACCTCATCCTTCCATCGGACAAGCACATCCTTCAACCTCTCACTGCCCTCCTCAACGTCATGTTTGCTGTATCCCATGGCATTGGCATCGTGCTTGCTCGTGAAGTCCTCCAGCTCGTCCGCTTTACGCTTCGCCATTCTGATCACCTTGTCCGGGAACCGGACTAGTTCTGCGACGTGAATACCGAAGCTCTGGTCGCAGATGCCGGGCTCGACCTTGTAGAGTAGCGTCACTTCGCGCTTGTCTTTCTCTGAACTGCTGGTCACGTTCGTGCTCGCACCCGAGATGTGCGCGGTGACGTGCAGGTTGGTGACTTGGGGATAGGTGTCCGCCAGAGCAGTCAGCTCGTGAAAATGCGTTGCAAACATGGCAAAGCACCCGATTTCCTTCACGATGTGTTCAGAGATAGCCCAAGCTAGCCCGAAACCATCATAAGTCGACGTACCGCGCCCCAGCTCGTCGATAATGATCAGGGACTCCGACGTAGCCGACTTGAGAATGTTGGCCGTCTCCAGCATCTCAGCCATGAAGGTGGACACCCCTTTCAATTGTGAGTCGGATGCACCGACACGAGCAAGTATCGAGTCAAAGATGGTCAACTCAGCTTCCGCGCAAGGCACGAAGCAGCCGATTTGGGCCATCAGCGCCACAACACCAATTTGCCGAATATACGTCGACTTGCCGCCCATGTTCGGGCCTGTAATGATGAGGAACGAGGACTTATCGCGAGTCAACTCGACGTCGTTCGTGATGAATTGAACATCGTCTTGCATCTCCATGCAGGGATGTCGAGCTTCCCTCAGGATTGTCTGCCCTTCACCTCTGGGATGAATAACAGGGCGAACGTAGGATGTGGGGGCGTGAACGGAGCAATGGGCGAAGGAGATGATGACATCGAGATGCGCGAGCACACCGGCAAGAAGCTCTAGCACGGGGCAGTAAGACATCGCTACACTGATGACTTCGCTGACCAAGCTGCTCTGAGTTCTGTTATAATTCTGCGATAGCTGGTCGAACTCGCGACGTTGGACTTGCAGCGTTTTTGTAGTGAAGTAGACACCGTTCTTTTGCGTTGAGCATTCCTGATAATTGGAATTGTTGCGGATGCAGCCTGCTTCTGTTCTGGTTAATCTCATGCACCAGCCGTGTACCTTGTGGTTCTCCAGGAAGATTTTTTTGTTCTCTTCTTGATTCAGGTCGTCTGCAGCATTGCGGAACTCCTGGTCCATATCCGACCTAAGTTTGTCCAGCCGTCTCCGAATGATGCGAAGACCGTCGTCAAAGTCAGGCTTGATGATGAATTCGTGGTTGTCGAGTGCGTCGAGGTCAACAGTGGTTTCAACCATCTCTGCGAGCTTGCCAAGACTGGCAGAAAGCTCGCGGAGTTTGTTGGTGTACGCTTCGTCAAGTGGATCCTTATACTTCTCGTCCATCACAGCTTCGAGAGTGCCCAAGAAGCCTGGAAGACGAATGATGACTTGATATGCTCGGACGACGTCTTCCAAGTTGGCCTTGTTCCGTTGGAAGCGTTTGGCCAAGCGATACAAATCGGGCACTGATTTGAGATGCTCTTCTTGCATAGTCTGGCGCAGCTCCGTATCATTCGCAAAAGCCTCAACCAGTTGTTGTCGCTTTTCAATCTCAACTTTGCTCATAAGGGGTTGCTTGAGCCATTGCGATAGTAAACGGCTGCCAACAGGTGTCCTGCAGTGGTTGAGAAGGCCATAAAGACTCATCGTCTTCGACCCATCCCGAGCCCCCGGCATCAAGTTGAGCGCCTTCAGCGCAGCAGCGTCCAGCTTCATGAAATGAGACAAGTCATGTTGGTACAGTTGATATTGACCAAAATTGGAGGGATCTTGTAGAACGCTTAGATACTTGATCAAAGCTGCCGCAGAGCCCATGGCAAGTTTGAGGTCGGTCTGTGGGAGTGAAGTGACCGACCTCTCATCCTTGAGCAGCCGTGCAAGATCTTGTTCGATATCCTTGGCACCGAAGTCTCCGGCCGACCTTTCGGAAATGGCGATGCCACAGTTGTCGATGATCTGACGAAGCTTGGCCAAGTCGGGGTCCTTGCCCTTCTCGGATTTATCATACTGAATGAGACATTCCTTGACACCTAATTGGATCAGGAGAGCCTCGAAGTTGGAGTATAGGTCGTTGTCCAGAAATTCGCTGACCCCGAGCTCTCGCACACTAGCATCTGCGAAGCATACTCCCACACTACGTGCCTCTGACGCCTTGGCTGATATTTTGACGGCTAGTATCATGGGAGCAGAGTCGAATTGCCCACCCAGATCGTCCTCTACATCTTGTAGGTTGCCTGGAGATGCCTGCTTCGCGATCTTCCAGTTCGTTCGGCCGCCAGAACTTGCATAGATTTCCACTCGCTTTCCTAACTTGTAAAGAGCTTCTCGAAGGAACTGTCGGAAGACTGTTACGGTCATGGTGACCGAAGGTAGACCGCTGGCATCGTTTCGTCCAAGCTGTCTTACGACAGATGTTGTCTTGTAGACCTGCACATGCTGGGTTAGAAGTATTCTGGAAGGGACTGGATGGCATTGACTTACTGTCCGAGCAATGAAGTTGGCATCCTCGCCATGGGCCGTAAACCAATCACCTCGATCGAAGATTCGGACTGTCTCACCGTCCACAGACGGCAGTGACTTGAAGTACCGGATGAAGCCATGCTCATCATCGACCTGCGGGTTGCTGATCAGTCTGACGTTTCCAATAGAGCAGTTTACTGGGAGCTCACCTTCAATTCTGGACGGGAAGACATATTTTTCAATGTTTCAGCTCTTCAATTATTGCCAATAAAAGAGTTGAACTAGATCACATTGTTTGCAGAGATTGATATCACCCCAATGGACTTCGTTTCAGTGGAGAATCCTTGGTCAGACGCGTCCCCGGAAATCAATTAAGCTGGGAGACGCGACGTGAGAGCGCTAAACTTCAAAGGACACCGCCTAAGGTTTCTGCCGGGCTAGGAAGCTCCAACCTCATAATTTGGCCTCGACCCCACCATCCAAAAAGTCGAGGTTCCTTCACAGTGCCAATAAAACGAAAAATAGTCGATGGCGCACCTCATGGACACTCAAATCACGACGAACAAACCGACCTTCTGAACCCATCGGTTGATGTATTGAGACCCCGATACATCGTGATCAGGTGATTTCTTCTACAATGGACTCTTCCACAGACGGTCTCGCTTCTGTTGTCGCGGAGCATTCTGAATCAGACTGGAGACAAACGAACGATCGCGAAGACCCAGCGATACGCGCCCTTGCGACCAATGGTTCGAATGACTGCAAAAAAGGCGCCGCAGCTGACGAAAATGTCGAAATCACCACTGAGACACCCCATGGGACGAAGCGGCCAGCAGTAGACCCGGCTGAAGGTGTCCAAGAACCTCCCTTATCCAAAAACCAACAGCGCAAATTGAAACGTCAAAAGCTATGGGAGGAGAAGAGGGGGGAACGTGCTGAAAAGCGCAAAGAAAAACGACACAACAAGCAGGAGCAGAAGCGGCAGGAAAAGGAGGCGGGTATCCGTTCCACAGAAGAAGGGGAGAAACGAACGCGCGATCCTAAGAAACAGACCAAGGTTCCCGTGGCCATTATTATCGATTGTCAATACGAAAGCTACATGACCGAAAAGGAGATGATATCTCTGAGCAGCCAAGTAACCAGATGCTACTCGGACAACCGGTCGGCTCAATTCCCGGTACACTTGTACATCAGCAGCTACGGAGGGGCCATGAAGAGCCGTCATGAGACGGTGCTTCATGGCCAGGTCAACAAGTGGAAGGGTATCCACTTTGTTCAGCCCGACTTTGTTGAAACTGCTAGGCAGGTGCAGGGCGTAATGTCTGGTCAGAACGGGGGCAAAATCACTGAAGTGTTGCAAGCAGGGGAGGACAGAACCAATGCGGTCTCTCTGGCGAAACCAGATCCGAGCAACAAGAAGTACAAAAAGGGCTTGCTACCGATGCCAGAACTGGAACCCGATGACGTCGACAAATCCATTGTGTACCTGACGGCAGATTCACCATATATCCTTGAACACCTCGAGCCAAATGTCTCGTACGTCGTAGGTGGTATCATTGACCGCAATCGCGAAAAGGGGCTTTGCTACAAGGTCGCGCGGGAACGAAATGTGCGAACGGCAAAGCTGCCAATCGGAGAGTACATGGTTCTACAAGACAGGCACGTACTCGCTACCAATCACGTCGTGGAGATCATGCTGCGGTGGCTTGAGCTAGGCGACTGGGGTGAGGCGTTCATGAAGGTTATCCCACAGCGAAAAGGAGGAAAGCTGAAGCATGAAGGGAGTGTAGCCTCGGAAGCTGGAGAGGGTGATGCGAAGTACCAGGAAGGGGAAGGTTCAGATGCCACGGGCCAGGAAGCGGGCGACCCAACAAGTGGCGATGCTGCGATGAAAGAGACACCGGACGAAGCTGCAGTGGGGGATGCTGAAGTGAAGAATGCAGCAGAAGCTGTAGCAGGACAAGTGGATAGCAGTACAGAGCCAGTCGCATATGTACCCAGTTCAGAATAGTCAGTTCAGATCGCGATGACTCTGAAAGAATGGCATTGGGACCATTCGTAAAGGCCCAGCATCAAGTTGAGAATGCTATTCACGATTAAAGCTAAAGCAGATACTAAAATTTCAAGACACAGAATTGTTAGAAAAGAGAGTAGCAGCAAATGAGTCTAAAAAGTTTCAGGGTGGATTATTCCACTTCAACATCGTGCTAACCTAAGTCGAACATGAAGTACTCCGTACGAGTATTGCGACTTACTGTACTGGTGCACGGATGCTGTGCGCAACGAACTTGCCCCTCCAAAAGATTCGCGGGATTGAGTCACTAAACATCACTGAAGCAAAAAGTGCGGTGCCAACTACATAAGGCGAAGTTTCCAGCGCCCGAGATCACCATTTGAAACCCTTGCAGATTTATTTGTGATCCATCATGTCCACCATCAAGGGCGCTGCTGGGAAAGGCAAGAAGACCTTGAAGCCCGGCGCAGAAGACAAGAGAGAAGATGTCCTTCAAGCTGTGGTATGCACCCTATCATGAACAGACAATGGAATGGTCTGGAGCTGACCCTTTATGCTCTGTCATAGATCATCGCCGACTCATTTCAGACAAGGTTTATACCTTTCTCTTTGGAGAAGCCACGAGTAAGTCGAGCGAAGCATCTATTCGGGAAAGTGGCAGGCTAACGGATGCCCGTGCCAGTGTCTCTTCCCACTCGCGAACACACCATTGATTGAATACACTCTTGAGTTCCTTGCGATGAATGGCGTCCAAGAGGTTTTCATATATGCTGGAGCGCATCAAGAGCAGATTGAGAGCTACATCCGCCAGTCGCGATGGACACCCATCTCAAGATCATGTCCATTTGTTGACCTCCAATTTATCCGTGTGTCGGATGCCCGCTCGATTGGTGACTTCCTCCGCGACCTTGACAAGCGCAGCATAATTGGCGGCGACTTCGTGCTCGTACACGGCGACCTTGTGTCGAATGTGATGCTGGACGGCGCATTAGCAGCCCATCGAGCACGGAAAGAGGCTAATCGTGATGCCATCATGACTATGGTGCTGCGAGAGGGTGGGGAGCATGAACATCAAACCAAAGTTAACGGCATTACTCCCATATTTGCGCTTGACCCCCGACAAAGGAGATGTTTGCACTACGAGGAAATGAACCCGTTCCAGGAAGATCGTTACACCACCCTCGACGAAGATGTGCTCAAGAATCACGAGTTGGAGATTCGTACCGATTTGATCGATGCGCAAATCGACATATGTACACCCGATGTCCTGGCGCTATGGTCAGAGAGTTTCGACTACGAGCTACCCCGAGCAAACTACCTGCATGGTGTCTTGAAGGACTACGAGTTGAACGGAAAGACAATCCACACAGAGATAGTTTCCGAAGGCTATAGCGCACGAGCAACGAATTTGCAAATGTTCGAAGCCATAAGTCGGGACGTTCTGAGTGGTTGGGCTTATCCATTCGTTCCCGACTCCAATCTTGTGAAGGGACACACATACAAGTCATGGGACGACAACGTGTACCGTGAAGATGGCGTCCAACTGGGAGTAGACTGCGACGTGTCCAGCTCCATCCTTGGCCGAGATACCCAGGTTGGTCCCCAAACCACAGTCTCCGACAGTGTGATTGGGCGTAATTGTAGAATTGGCAGCAATGTTCGAATATCGGACAGTTACATTTGGGACGATGCCATAGTCGAAGATGGTGCAGTCGTTGAACACTCGCTCATCGCAGAATACGTCGTTATCGGGAAATCGGCCCACATTCTGCCAGGCAGCTTGCTTGCCTCTGGTGTCCATGTCAGCGACAACATCACCATACGACCATCTACAGTTCTCTCCATACTTTCGTCAGAGTCGACGTCAGTACCACACGACACCGAGCTCTTGGGCCCGCAAGGCAAAGGCGCACGGTACAAAGACCCAGACTTCGATGATCTGGATGAGGACGACCCGGTTCGCCTTCAGAAATCCCTGATATACACTCTAGATGACTACAACTTTGATGCCTCCACGATATCTACCTTCTCCCCCGACTTTGATGAAGATACATTAGCAGAATTCGAGTCGCACCAATCTCCCACAACAAATCAGGAGTCGCGCTCCCGGTTATCATCGTTTGCCTCAGACGACTCGGGAAATGGTGGGTCGGGATCGTTCCTTTCGGAAGCTGTCCACGGCCTCCTAGATGCCCTCCGCGGCGAAGGGGGAGACTTTGACTCAGAGAAGCTCGAGTTCATGTCCCTCCGGCTTGCCAACGATGCTTCGGACGTTGCTGTGCGCCGCGCGGTAGCTACTGCCTTTGTGCGCCGAGCCGTCGAGCTTTTAAAAGTCGACGGCGAAGGGCTCGAGCCCTCCAAGGCTGCGAAGACGGTTCTTACCGAGCGACCAGGCGCCCAAACATTTGTCGCTGAGGTCGGTGTGGGGAGCGGCTCCGTAAAGGAACAAATCGAGTTTGCGCTCGCTGTTCAAAGGGCGTGTGTCAGTAGCGCCAAGGTGATAGAGGTGGCGCGAGCAGGCAATTTGCTTGCGGCTCTATTCCAGCATATGTATCAGGAAGAGATCCTGGAAGAGGATGGAATTCTGGGCTGGTGGATCGACTCGCGAGCTTCCGAGGGCGAAGGGGCCCAAGGAGAAAACATGCGCGGCGTTAAGGAAAAGTGCAAGGTCTTGGTGGACTGGCTTGAAGATGCTGAAGAGGAGGACAGCGATGAGAGTGATGATGAATAGGCTTCATTGTGACGCTGGCGCGTTTGGTCAAGTGATATGAGAAGTCGCCATAGAGGCGTACACAGCATGCTGAGAGTTTCGGCGTTTAGGAGGAACAACGTGCATGTGTGTGTGGTTTGTTCAGCAACGCCATCAGTGATAGGGATCTTCACTCGAAGCAAAGGTTCCGATTACACTGCATCGCCATCTAGAACATGGCTTGTGACGTCAGAGTCAAAAGGACAGATGTAGATCGCCCTTCTAAACTATATCGCAGTCTTCAAACAGCTTCTTCTTGGCACGACCGTAGTACACGATACCAAATTGAGCTATTGACACCAGTCAGGCAAGCAACAACTATGCTGACCCTTGATGGCCCCCACGATATGCGCTGTTCGCTTCCATGGCGGCATGTGATTGGAGCAATGATGAGGAGCCCTCAAGCGTGAATCCATCCGTTCATTGGTACTTATATAAGTAGGTCTGCTCAGCCGCTCCACCTCTCTGTGCCGCATTTCTCCGCCTTCGCACTACCTTTCATAGGAAGGGCAAACATCCGACCCTTCGAATCATAAAGCAGCGACTTGGTGTATATATCTTCACATCATTTCAGAGTCTCTTGCCTCAGTTCATTCTTTCTTCTTACATTATGGTGCTGAAACCCATAACGGAGCAGCAGCCGCCAGTTAGTCCGCCTGATTATGGCAATGAGCCTGGTCTAGGGCGTGGAGCGGTTTACAATGTTGGCTATCAATCCCCATCGCAGCCCTACCCAACCCAGGATAGCTCGCCGGTGCCGGCACCTGCACCGCAATATGTCAGTCCTTTGAATGAACGACAGCAGGGTGAAAACGGCGACACGGTGCCGTCCTACGTCGGGGGGGTGTACGCTTCCCCACGCTCTTCGGGGTCTAGGTACAGCAATCTGCCTGCATCTCAGCAGCCGTATGGCGCTCCGCCCGACCCACGGCATCACTATCCGCCGCCACCTCAGTGGCCGCAACAGTCGAACTCCTCGTCGCTTCCTCCGGCACATCAGCAGCCACATTACCAACCACACGTTTCGAGGCCTGACAGAGCGCAGTCCCCATCTCGGGATTCTTCTGAGACTCTGCCACCACAAACTTCTATGGCAGACCCACTTCCCCATGTGTTCAAACCTGAATATTCAAGTCTATCTCCGGCTCCAGGATCCTTGTCCCCCTATGGGGCCCAACCGCCCCAACCAGGCAGCGTGGAGCTCGAAGATAATTCTGCCGTCCCTTATCCATCCGGCTCGACAGGCCCTGGATACCAAGTAATATACGGACCCAAACCGCCCCCATCAGTCGGTGTTAAGCAGGAAGATCATTCTGCTCCTCCCTTTCCATCAAGCTCTCCAGGCCTTGGATCCCAGACCGCCGAGGAACGAGGTCTGATGGGGGCCCTGGCGGGAGGCGCAGCCGGCAGCTTGGCCGGCCACCAAATAAACCACGGATTTCTGGGTGCTATAGCCGGCGCCTATGGGGGGCACAAGCTAGAAGACGCATCGAAAGATAAGCGCAAGTCATCATCTCGACGCTCCTCTACATCTTCCTCGTCCTCGGATTCTGGCCATCACAAAACCCATAACCACCAGGTTCCCGCACCCCAGCCTTCAATCCAGCACCACGCACCCCCTCGTGTCCTAGCAGCAGCCCCAAGACAGGGAAACTTTTCCCTCTCCTCGACGCGCATCAGCCTCGAACGCAACCATGAGCTGATCGCCGAGTGCCGCGCCATCAACGGGCAGAAGAAGGTGGCGTCCGTTTCGTTGAACCGATTACTATCGAATGACAATGGACATTTCCGGTGGGCAAAGGAAGGGAACTTTGGGGCCAGTGCGAGGGATGTGAAACTGGTGGATGGGGGCAAGGTTTTAGAGGCAGAGTTGAGGACTCGTAAGGGCCAGTGGAGACGCAGTCGGGTTTTGTTGGACGAGAAGATTATGAATAGGAATGGGGAATTGTGTATGCTTTGGTAGGGAATGCGGCATCTTGGAGGTTTGGCTAGATAGGCAGACTGAAGAAGTTTATAGATTCGTGTTGACGTTTGTCATAAGACGTGTCTGTGGTTGTGGTGAGACATAAAATCTACGTAAGGTCATGTACGAGTTTCATTAGGGGGCCGCTGTTTGGGGTTAGAGGGCAATAATTTTGCAACGAGAAAAACGGGCTACAGATTGCATTAATATTTAATTGAGGTTTCAACCTATAAATATCCCTGGTTATGCTCAACTTTTCCCCGGTTCTCTTGTGGAAGGTTGCCTGCCTGGCTGGGTTGAGCAGCTAATTATCCATGTGTGTGCTGCGGATACGTGCCAGGAAGGGGTCAGTGTGAACCTCAGACCGGTACACATCCCGCTTTACATTCGAAAATTCGAGATGTGTCCTAAGCTTGAGAATATGCTGCTGTTGGACTGCTTCCGGCTACAAAAGCCAGTTCACCGGATGTTGGACCCTATGCCCCAAATCCTCTGGTGTATGAGCCACTGTTGTATATTCAGGATCAGATCCCCTGATTATCAACCACTGTCATGCTCAGACGTGATAAGCACCATCAAAATGTGCAGTCAAGAGGCACATTTCTCTGTACTTAAAGTCCTTGTGGCCACCTTCACTCTTTTTTGACTTCGGAAGGGTAGAGCTATATTCAATTCAATGCTTTGTTATAGCTTGCAATAGATGTGAAGGTACGGTCAAGTGCCAGATCGAAGACCTACAAAAGCCCACATCATGCCAGAAGTAGCCATCAGATAAGAGAAAATAGAACATGTCGTTTTGGCCTTAGCTCAATCTGCAATAAGAACAATAGCTGCAAACAAACTAAATGAGTGTCTCTTATTGATGCGGGCATCGAAGACTAGAGGTGCTGTATGCTCTATGTACCAGCCAGGGGCACGAAAAGTAGCTATGGGCTAACAATAATGTATATCGGTCGAATCTGAATCCTGCCATCGTGTCTGAATTAGGTAATCGCCACTCGACCTTTTCGTCCTGCCTCTCGCCCACAACGGTGGAATTGCCACACTGTCCGGATTGACAGATATCACTTTCGTCAAGATGGCAACACACACTCATACAAATAAGACATTCTGCGTTGCGGAATGGCGACTTGCTGAGGTTCCAGAATCGTATTTCCATCAATATCTTAGCGCGAAGTCTCAAAGACATCTAGAGCAGCGGCCAAGCAACCACACGTACTCCGTACATTGAAGCCCATCGAATTTTTAACGCATTCGACCACGTGGCGATGACGGTCTTTTTCTCATCTTCTGCCCCCGCCCCTCCATGGCGGCACTGCGACCCGTATGAGACCCATACCACAGGCTCCGCACTTCGGGAGGGATCATATGACACGCTCACCAGCCTGGAAACGAACTCCAAAAGGTGTGCTTAAGATTCTCAACACACCGTATTGGCATGCGGCAACAATGGTGCTTGGGGCCAAAGATGACTTCGAAACATCATTAGTAGTGGGCAAGCATGATTTAAAATCGCTCATAGCATGATGCCATCCTTCGTCCCGAACTCCTAACAACAAATTGGACAATTTCCTGACCCAATTCACTCTCTTGCATATCGCTGGATTTCCGGTCAGACTCTCATAGCAGTTCCGGCGCAGTGCGTGGGTTTTCATCAACATCTGTGAAGGTAAATCGCAAGAAGATGAGCCATCCAATGGTTCAATATACACATCATGTCGCATATTTCCATTAAGAAAGAACATGTGATAAAATTGGCGAAAGGAATATTTGATCTGGCGGACTTAGATGTGGGGGTCCGCCTCAGCTTCAAGTTAGGGAAGTAAGACCCAATCTGCGATTTACCAATTTTTCGCCGAAAACGTTTTCGAGAAGAAAAATTCGACAAATAGGAGAAGAAAGAAAGGATTTGACTCTGCAGATGAACATAAATCCGGCATTTTAGTCTTACACGACGCCTTTGTCAGTATTTCCGCATTGAGTCTCGTCAAGTTGGTATATCAAGCCTGCAATGAAATGCTCCGATGAGCCTGGGCTTTCCAATCGACAATCCCTCGTAGAGCAGAACATATCTCCCTACTGAATCAACAGATTTGAGAAATAATTCGTGGCCATGACGGCTCTAGCCACATCCTTGGAATCATCATGGCCAACAATGGTCGGATTCTCTGCGCTAACTACTAGGCGTGGTAGTCCACCAGACGATCCGGCCCTTCGAAATCGATAGTCGGGGATGGTAAATGGTCTTCGTGTACCTTAACGTCCTCGCTTCTTTCTTCTTTAGCTACACGACGACGACCCTCAGTATACATGTTTATTATTATTATGATTAATACGCCGTAGGCTCGAAGCCCCCGGTACCTCTACTAGTACTCCCGTATGTCAAACCGTGCCCTAATGGCTGGACTAAATACATACGCTGCGTCGTCGGTTCGCCCTATTGGCGACTGCGTTGCGTTCACTACCATACTACGTTGGTTCTCAACCTACCAACAAAGCCCCCCCTGAGAAGATCGATGCTATCTGGGCCTTGAAGCTGTCCGACCCGTCCCTAGCAGCCACCTTACAATAGTCCCACTAACTACTGGTTCTCCTGTTGCCGTTGCGAGGTCTCTGCGAGAGTATAGTGGCCGTGGTGCGATAGCGGCCCGTAATCGTTCCCTCGGTCCTTCCAACAGCCCGCAAAAGAGGATTACGTGCTCTGCCGTCTCAGGGGCGTCGCCACAGCGGCATAGCGGCGAGTACACGCCAAAAGCCCCTGTCTTGAATAAGAAGGCTGCTAGTCCTATTTTTTCCGTCCTGATCTGGCACAGCGTAGACGCTTCCTGATACGAAAAGGTAGGGGGACCCACTGGTTTGGTGAATCCCATTCAATTAGATACTATAACGTTGCGCACTGCTGCATTATAGCATCCTTCCCCCTAGGTGCACGCATCACTTCCAGTCGGTTCAGGCCGAAATACTTGCCCCCTTTCGGTATCTGCATCGAAGGGCCCTCCGGTTCCTCAGCGATGGCGCGTCGCTGGCGATCGTGATGCTCTGCTCCGGTGAGCCATCTCTTCCTCCAGTGGCCGAGGAGGGCAGCCGGGACCTTCTTTTCCTCACTCATCCACTCGGAGCCCCGGGCCTCCTTCTCCATAGTGTACCCTGCCGGTCGGAGTAGCTGCGACGCCTGCTTCCTCTTCGCCGGCCTATCCTGCCGGAGTATATGTGACGCTTTAGCGGAAGAGAATGCCTACACTGTGCTACAAGAGTTCATAGCAGGGCATCGCATTAGGCCACTCTGCCAAAGCGCCTAAGATGTTATTTGATTGGTTACTTATATAACTTAAGAAACGATGTAGCTAGAATACTGGCAGATTAAATCCCCTAGCTTCAATTGTGAGATCGCACTGGTACAGGCATTCCGGGCCCAAGCCGCACAAGGGCACTGAAGTATCTCAGGTAGCTCCAGTGTACCTCACCATGATCTCTGGCCACCAATTCCATAATAAGTGACCCCATGGGGGGTTACCCTGTAGCTACAGATAAGACAGATAAGATAAGATAAGATAAGAGCTATAAAAGAGCTCTGCCAGGCCAGAATAGCTGACCTGGCCATCCTTTTCCAATACAACAATTCACACCCCATATGCACTCGCATCAGCTAGACACGTCGGCGTTAACTAGGCCGTCGAGCCTGTTTTTTAATCGAATAATATACTACTAGCGAGCCTACTATGAAGATCTTAACGCGTATTGTGCGTAGTTTAGGCTCGTACGAAATATAATTACGAAGTGTAGTATCTAAGAGGTGAAGACTCTAAATAATCTAACCGAGGCGTATTCTAGTCTAAATACGTTAAAACTAGGATCGTATAGTGTTATAATAGCTATCCGACGACAATTCTTATAGCTATTAACTAGTCTTCACGTAGCACGACAGCTATTATATACCGGTTAGTTTTACTCAAGGTTAAGGTCACTATACTTCGGAAGGCTGATTTAGAGCTAAGCCGTCGTCGAAGGACTGACAAATGATAGCTATAAGATATAGGATCTCTTAGTTTACGAGAGTCTCAGGACCTCTAGTCTCAACAGGAGATTAAACAGCAGCTATAGGATGATTTACGTGTAAGTCGTCTTCGTACGAGAACGGCCAAACCACGCCGACAGTGCTGTAGGATCTACGGAGAGCCCGGGCATGATGCTCGTACTTGTTAAAATAATAAAGATGCGTACGAGGACAAGGATTCCGATTAGTGTAAATTGAAGTTTTTTGTTATAGTCAAGTTATTGAAGTTATTTGTACGGTGCCAAAACAAAGTGGCCAACTTGCTTGTGGGGTACGTTATATGAAGTTACTACCCTTTTTTTGGGCTGTATTGAAATTGGTTGTGCCATTGGTCCGTGTGTAGCGCTGAGAGGTTGACGTACTCGCAGTCCCCAAGCGTATTCTATGTCGTTTGGGTTGATACCCAGGCGGAACCTAGTATGCACATGCAGATAACTAGAGGAATCACACTTCAACGCGAAGTATAATATTGTGCTAGTGGCTCTACCTTAGTTTCGAACGAAATGAGTGTTTCATGAACTCGGGCTTTGGTGATGAAACTGCAGGGAACTGGTATAATCTAGACGTTGATCACTTTCTGGATATTAGTGAAAAAGGGAAATATATCGTTGAATTAGTTTGCAGCGGACGGGATCCTGCTATGTCTACGTGGAATCGATACTAACGCCGCACAGAGGTCTATTGCCGAATAACAAACCATGGACCGCGAAACACTATTTCAATGGATCTTTTGTTTGGCTGCGAGATGTTCGTCGCTAGGTCCATTGACGATACGTGGGGTTTGTGTGTGTTGCCGATTGGACATCGTGTGTGAGCATTATAAGTGAGCTCTCGTGATGACAAACCGCGCCCAGATGGGCTCCATAAGCTGTTGAAACTGTAAGTATTACAGCATAAAGGAGTGGGAAATGTTGCTCCAATAGTTTTGGGGGATTACTGCACAACTTTGCTTCGCCTTGATGCAACGAGAATCACAATTTGAACACCAATCCAACGGTGAAATACAATTATTCTGGCTTGTTGTCACAAATTCGTCTCCAGTCTTCTTCTAAAGTGCGGATCATGTCATCCTAGCAGTCCCTTAAACTAAGCACGAAGTACCGCCTTGGCAACATTTACTTCGCGACATTGTATAGATAACTCCAAGGTGGCCCACCATTGAAGGCGATGCACTAGTAAAGGCCCATTGAACTAGAATATTCGAACCCGTTTGATTCCTCATGGAAGGTCTTGGCAAGGCGCGTTCGTCTGACGTTTCTATCTTCTATCGTAAAGACATTGGGTGGTTCATTTACCGCGATGATGAGTCCGTATTCGGATTTTGGGGACAGTTTCTGAGAATCAGCTCGGAGATTGCAAAGCCCACTACGGTGTGTCTATTGTCCCATCATTAACCGCAGCCGAGGAATGTAGAATCTTCGAGCAAACCTCAAGTGAATGACGACGATCAATGCAGGTATTGGAAGATTCGTCCAACAAACACCCATACATATGAACGACGGTCCGTGTAGACACTGATCTCGATGACCAACTGGAATCTCGCGCTCGCTCTACACGCGAAGCACGACATCCAGTGCTTGGGAACTATGCGGGCTTGAGTTTCAGGTAAAAGTCTTCTCTGGCCACAAAGTAGGGGTCAAAACAAGTTGCACGCAGGAGTTGCTCTGCGCCGAGCGGGCGCGTAGGTATTTATCAGAAACATATTTGGCAGGGTGGTCAATTTCGGCAAGGTGGTCGGCAGGAGATGCCATCAATGAGAGATGATCGTCAAGATCCCCAACAGCCCAGCAGGGTATTAATGTGGGGGTTCCAGGGGCTTGAGTGCTGGGGGGGAGACGTGATCAAGTAAGGGTATCAGGAGGTAGTGTGTGTCAAGCTGACCAAAATAAAAAATAATATTAAATACGCCGTAGGTGTTAACCCTCGGTACCTCTACAAGTACTCCCTTAAGGGGCTATAGATGATATAGCGGGCCCTTAAGCCGCGTCGGGCGGTTATACAGGTAAACTTGTAGCCAAATGACTACTAAACCTCCTGTCCCTCCCTAAGTCTGTGCTACAACCCCTGCCTGAACTACCGATAAGTGTGGTAATGTGGCACTTAAATTCGTCCTCAGGGGTGGGATGCTGCTGATGTGCAGAAGATGCTCGACTATTTTTTTGTCGCGACAAGTCGTAGTATCTGCTAATTGGGGTTCTCGTCGAGCGTATACATCTCAACCATACGCTCAAGTGGATAGACCGTAACGTGGTCAGACGCTCGCAAGAATCGCGGCGAGAGGGCGTGCTGCGCGCCTTCTATCGTGAGGGGACGGGTTCGCCGACGAGCGTTATCGGAAAGGCGAGGTCCGATAAGGGGTCGGATTAACGATTCGAATTCTGGACCGGCTGTCGAGTTATATTCCGCCGACGTAGTGCTTGACGGTCGACTGGCTAGGATGCTCGTAATCCTAAACTGCACCAATCTCCCTATTATCGCTAGGTAGGCGAAGTCAACAAGGTGGGCAGCGCGCCGTAAGGGTTGACTAAACCCCCTTGTGTGTCAGCTGCGGGATTCGAACCCGCGACTCGTCACCGACCCAAGTGGGCGAGGCTCAAATCGGGACTTATCTACCAGCGAAGTGACCAACTACACCAGCCGACGACCAAAATAAAAAACTCATCTAGCCGAAGGCCGACCTAGACGTTACAATTTCAACTATAGAAATTCAGCTTCATTTTCGAATTCAGAAAAGAGGCTGTCACATTATTGATAGGTATTCGATGAAAGTGCTTTCTATTTTTCAATTTACTTTTACTGGTTTCCAGGCTGTAGTTAGGGCGGTAATAATGTTACCATTCAAGAATGTACCTCGGTTTTCAATTTGGTCGGCTTGGTGTGTCACAGTGGCGCTAGGTCGTATGTTTATACACGGTTTTCAGTACTGTGAAGGGCAATGATACCCTTGTCCAAGTGCACCGGTACTTGACCTCTCACACAGTTTGTTTGCATTGATCAGTCACTTAAAATGGGGTATTCCATCCACTAACGATCTGCATGCCTCGAGAGGCGTACTAAGCAGTCGGACCTGAATTTGTGCGGTAATAGCACACGGAAATAGCTAGGGGCCCCTGGCGGTGACGTGTCTCAATTGCTTTGGATCAACCAGTGCTGAACCAGTGCTGACTTCATCCCATGTCGGATCGGTTGCCGAAAAAGAACAGCAGCCAGGATCGAAGTCTGGCGCCCAGGATTGCGGCTCTACAAATTCCACCACTCTGGTTCCATTTGGTGACCCACTGGTGTGTTCCGATGGGCCGATTTAAATTGGTCCTCGACGATGCCTGCATCTCCACCCGTTGAGCCGCCGCGGCTTGCCGACTTACACGCCTTGGAGCAGTCGAGGGGGAATTCGGCATGGTGAACCACGGGGGATAAATACAGCAATGGCTGCTTCCTTACAGATTTGGTTCATCATCAGCACTCATCATTGCAGGTTGCATCTTCCTTCTTTCTTAAAACCAGTCCATTCATTCACTTCACCACGTCATCTTCACTGTGTGAAGCTGGGACGATCATTCGCTACTATCCATCACTCTCTCAGTTCGATCCGTTCAGGAACAAAAAGTCACACTCATTCCAACCCAACCCACCAGCTCACACGCAAGCTTGATCAAACATGTCTTTCGCATCCAAGGCCGCCCTCTTCGGCGCCTTTGCCTCAGCCGTACTGGCCCACGGCACCGTCAGCGGCATCATCGCCGACGGCGTCTACAGCGAGGGCTGGCAACTGAGCTACTACTACTCGATCCAAAACGGCCAGACCTACCCCGATACGCCCGGCTGGTACGCCGAGGACCTCGACAACGGTTTCATCGCGCCCGATGCCTACGCTGAGGCTGACATCATCTGCCACAAGAACGCGAAGAACTCCAACTCGAGCGCGACCGTAGCGGCCGGCGGTTCTGTCGACTTCCAATGGACCGCCTGGCCCGATTCTCACATCGGCCCCATCTTTACTTACGTGGCCAACTGCGGCGCCGACTGCGGCACCGTCGACAAGTCGACCCTGAAATGGGTGAAAATCGACGAGGCTGGTATCGACCTCGACACCCAGACATGGCCCACCACTGGCATGATCGCTAACAACAATACCTGGACCACCACGGTTCCTTCGACTCTCGCGGCTGGCAAGTACGTCTTCCGCCACGAGATTATCGCTATGCACGGTGCCGGGTCCGAGAATGGCGCCCAGAACTATCCTCAATGTTCGAACATTGAGATTACCGGCTCTGGCACCGACAGTCCTGAAGGCACGCTGGGAACGGCTCTCTACACTTCCACCGACCCCGGTATCCTCTTCAACCCTTATACCACCCTGACCGAGTACACTATCCCCGGTCCCGCTCTGTATTCAGGCGCCACGGGCACTTCCGGCGGCGGTGCCTCCGGCAGCAGCTCGTCCGCACCTGTTGCTACCTCTTCCGTTCCCGCTGTCAGCTCGGTTTTCCCTTCTGCTACTAGCGCTCCTGCCACTGTCGCTTCGTCTATCTCGACTGCTGCCCCCGCCGCTTCGACCACTGCTGCTGCTTCGGCTGGATGCAAGAAGCGCCGCCATGCTCGTGATGTTCAAGTTTAAGGAAAGATGGACGTGGAAATAGTGTGCATGTGGATAAAAGCATGATGGAAAGGGGAAGAAATGTTTCGGAACTCTTTTGTTCTCTTCGAACGTGTAAATATGTTATTCTTTTGGTGTTGCCTCGATGTATGTCGTGATGTACCTAAATAGTGCGTATAAATATTCAGAACTTCTGATTAATTTTGCCTCCAGATCGGACTAGCTGTTATGGTATGGTCCGGAGTTTCTCTTTCAACCTTAGGGGACCATCACTTTTGGAGGCCCGTACATTCTCACTTCATAGAAATACACATCAGGCCTTCTGCTGTACAAATTGACTTATCCACGGCTACTGGTAAACTCCAGTTCAAGTGCAGTACTGCGGCATCAGGCCAAGATTATAGCCCCAGCTCGGGTAGCGTGTGCTGCAAGTCGCGGCACAGCTTGCCCATCGCGCCCACACCATAGTAAGCACGTTTTGCAGCCACCATTCAAATTCAGGATATCCAGATGCTGCGGATCGTCCGACTCCACGATACCAAAGACGGGCCGAGACTCATCCCTAGCACCGGAAGTGTGTTACACGCAATGGTGGTCGAATATTTGTGAGGTTGTAAAAGCATGTTCATCTATCTAGTACTATCGAGCACGAAGGTTGGACTTAGTCCCAAAGGGCTAAGCCACGTGGTAACCTTGGTGGTCTTGGCAAAGCCCACCAAGGTTGCCTAACAAAGTGCACTGACATCTCAGGATTGTCTCAGGTGCAAGGGAACTGTTCATAGACAAATGTGACTCGTATGTAGTATGAACCTCAGCCTGCTCAAAGAAAGACTTTCATAGCTCTTCAGAAATCAACTTTGTGATTTATCCTTTAGTAACTCTTATCCTCTCTCACACACCGCAATAAACCTCTTGTTGAGTATATGATCGATTAAAGTATTCTTTGGAAGATGTGATCCTATTCAGCACTTAGTGCTGTCTATAGCGTCAGTTCTCAGCTTCGTATATTACTCTCCATAACCTTCAATAGAGGTTTAACATCAGGGGGGTTACCAAAACTGAACCTGATTCGGACTGGAGGGGGTGGTCTCGTCTGAGCTTGCCCTGAGTTTGCGCCCCAAATCAACGTTTCATAAAATAATGCACAACGGGCTCTAACGTAATAAACTGGCTTTGCAGTAAAAGTTCATATACGGAGCGTTTCGTTAACGGCTTGAGGCGACTGGCGGCCGAGGCGGCGGCAAAAGAACAGGCCAAGACGGACGCGCTGAGCGGAACAGAGGGTGGGAGCCGGAGGTTGGGAGCGAGGAGGAGATTGCGTTCCTGGCGGCTGTTGCGGTGAAGGAGACGGAAGGTGTCGATATGAAAAATTTGGACTATAAAATGCCGTCGCACATTCTTCTTAGAGTGATGCGTGCTGCTTTCGAAGCCTAGAAGGGACAACAGGTGGAGGAGCTGAAGCGACGAATGGTCGATGCAGGTAGGATTGACGAGACCAGGGCCGACTAGTGGATTCGAGAAGTTCTGATGATCATGGAGCCGTATGTGCACAAGCGGGATTGACAGCCTGCCTCTGAAGAGGATCGGAGTGAATTGCTGCGGCAGATTCTGGTGGAAAATGGGCAGCTTTTTGCAAGATGGAAGCTCTCACTCTTCCAAAGACTTCAATTTCGAGCTGAAACCAAGATAATAGCCTGTCAATTCCGATAGCGGTGACAATGGTAGGAATACTCCTTGAATTGCCTTCTAGTGTTATGTACTACATTGATGGTATCCTCACATCAACACCAAGAGCATGACTACATGTACTTTAAACTATGATTCCGTACAAGAACCAAACGCTAATTGGCATCCCGTCCCGCAGTAAGCATTCGTGCTTCCGCAATAATCCCACTCAGAGCAACAATCCCCGAAAGCAGATCCAAGGAAGGTCGCACCCTCGGGATCACTGTTCGAGCTGCACGTACTGTCCGTGAAAACCACCGGTCCCAACTCACTAAACGTACCAAAGGCCGTCTGGCAGCCTGTGCTGCAGTGTGCCGTCGTGTCGCCGCAGTAGCCGTACTCAGAACAGCAGTCGCCGTAGGCGGAGCTAGCGCAGGTTATTCCTCCAAAGTCGGCACCGCAGCGGCCGGGTGTTGAGGGATTCGATGAAGCGGAGGGGGCTGCAGAGCTCGAGGATGACATCGGACTGCTGGACGACAATGACACCAAAGAGGAGGAGGAGGACGACGAAGACACTCCCATAGAAGCCAGCACGATCTCCGTGGTGTACGTCGACTTGGTCACGGACTTAATGGTGGTCGTGGAGGCGACTGTATCCCCAGAACCCCACGGCTTAGGCGTGCAAGTCGGCACCCCCGAGTACGTAGTGCTGTGCACCGTTGCCCGGCTCGGGAGGTTGGCCGTGTCGCTGACAATCTGGCGCCTGCGCAGCTCCGGCAGGTCCGTCTCCGAGGTGGACAGTTTTTTCGCCGGGAGGAACGCCACGCCGATGTCGTAGCCGGTGAACTCGCACGAGAGCTTGGGCCCGCTCGGCGCAGCCGGACTTCATGAAGAAGGGCAGGTTTAAGTAGGCGCCTGCGTACTTCCTATGGTGGTAGCGATAAGTGGTGTAGGGAAGGGGTGTTGGAGCGAAAGGGGAAGAAAAGGTAAAGAAGATTGCATGAAGCAGAAATTATCAAAGCGAGTCTTATTTATATTAGTCGTACCCCTGATAGTTTCTATAAACGGTGACCGGCCGGAATTTCGAGCACTACGGAAAAGGCTGCGCCCCTAATCATTGGCTGTACGTTCCTAGCCTATGCCTTTACAGAGCGAACGCACGACACCAACGTCGCTTGCCATACCCCCGAGCGCCTCCTACAGTTACATAGGTATATATCCTCACTACGAACAATATATTATCGCGCCAGAAAAGCACCTTCTTCGCTGCATAAACTAGTCCAGAAGTTGCTAATCCGACAGCCCCTATGAATAATCATGAGCACTTGTTCGTCCAAGTGTTGCTGTCCCATGCGATTCCACAGTGCAGTGCTAGAAGGAGTTGATACGAACATGCTGTAGGTACTTCTCGATCATCCCCAATCAGTGGGTAGCCATGCAGGTAGCGGCGGACACAAACGTACAGACCCAAGGGACCAGGACACATACCATCTGATGACAGCAGGCAGCCCGCTGGTCCGTTTCGCTGAGTTCCGTTTTCTTTATGCAAACTTGCATAATATTCAGATGCACGTAGCTCTCAATCACATGACTGATAATTGGCTGAGTTTGGCCTGAGCAAAAGCGGCGGGTGCGCCATACCGATGCCCCATGCCAGTGTCAAACTACTAACCAGAAGGCGGGAACTATGCCGGCTGAACTGCCGAGACCATCGAATCCTGCGTAGAAACAGCTATATTTTCAATTGACTACCTTAATCGACTTGAAAGTACACATACAGTCTACCTCCTGCAGAAGAGATGGCTATTACCACCATCTTCTAGTGCTTCTTGACTTGGGCCTTACAAGCCTCCTAAAATAGATATCATCTCGTCAATATTTAAGCAGCTACGGCCGTATTAATCTTCTTCCCCTTGGTTTGTTCTGCTCCATAAATGCGCAGCCGAACACCGACAACGCCGCTGTAGCAGTAGCAACAATAAAGGAATTGACCAAGCTATCATTATACGATTGAATGACGTTGGAAAGGTACTACTTGGGAATGAAAATAGCTAGATCGGCCACGCTACTATCTAATATGATAGAGGGGTCTAGGTCGGGGACTCGGTTCGCGAATTCCTATGCCAACTTGTTCGTAAAGACTGTTTTAGCGACGCTGGTGAATACAGAATCACCTAATGTCTGGGGAAACGACAAGATGGCAGTGGCGATGGGCACATCGATGAGATCGAGTATAGTCTGGACGGCGACGATGGCTTGCTGCCAACCAAAGCCGATACCTAGTCGGACTAGAGTCTGGTAGCCGATCAACTCGGTCGATATGGTGGTTGTGGTTAAAAGAGTAAGTACTCCTGCCCCCACAGAGGTCAGGATGGTGCCTATGATTATGAAGGGCGTATAATGTCCGACGACGGCAACGAGAATGCCCGCTATCGTTGTGGCCGCGATATCACCAGCATGCGCAGGGTCCGAATCCCAGATTCGACAGCATTGACTCCCTTTACTGCCTGAAACCAGATGGCACGAACTAGATAAGGACGAAGAAAGCCGTGCCGATGGTAAGCTGGTAGAGGGCATAAGGCCAGATCATCCGTTTCTTGACGATGCGGGGCGGGATAGTAGCATCATCTTGCATTCGGTATTGAAGGACGGCGAAGGCAATGAGGAGCACACCCCAGACAATAAACAACGCGATGATATTCCCGCTTCTCCATGCATACGTCGTGCATCCCCATTGCAGCGCGAGGAGTATACAAGTTGGACAATATGGGCCCTGTGGGCCATGTGGGTCCTATACTTGCCACTATCGCCACCTAGAACGGCGACCATCCCCACATACCTCTATTACGAGAAATGTGGCGAGGATAGAACATTCCCTACTTATCTATATGCTTCTACAACTTGTCTGAATTAATCAGCAAGTCTACCATTCATTGACTATATAAGAACCCTTTTGTTTCCATACATAGACCCTCGAAGAGAGGACCAGAGTTAGCTACAATACATACAGGTTAGGCATATGTGCCCTCCTTTTGCTCCTTCAACGGGAACATATAAAATCCAAGTATACAGATGATAGCGGGCATGAATATGACGGTGCTGAGCGGGTCGAAACGCATGACTTTTGCGAGCACGGATGGGCAGTTGCCGAAGTCCTGTCTCTTAGGACTCTTGAAAGGAAGGCAACTGCGAAGAAGGTCACCGCACCGATGGGGAGGTTGATTCAGAAACACCAGCGCCATAATATTCGGTCGGTGAAGGCTCCACCGAGAGGTGGTCCTGCGATTGCAGCGACGCCGTATGTACCGCCCGTCATGGCCCTAGATGACATATCAGTGTTGGGCCAACGGATACTATTTTTGAGCGACGCCTCAGTTATGAATACAAGTCTTCTGATCATCCACTGCCTCTTTTACTCTTGCGAAACCCTAATACCTCGAGCCGATCCCGGGCATCCTCGCTGTTCTGCGTGAAGGCGACAGCTTTTAGAAGACAATACTTCATAAGATGCGCAACTTAACAGTAGCGTGAAGGAGTCTCACATTGTAGGGACATCAATGTAAAGAGCGTATTGGTATTTAATTTGCAAAATAAAAAATAAATACAATCTAAGGAGTGGCGTGCTTCCCAATAAACGCCAGTTGGATGACAAAATCAAAAACTTTTCTCTGTGCCACTTTCCATCTGCTTCGCATGTCATGGATTTGCCTGACGTGGTTCTTTTCCCACGTCCTCTGGTGGACGAGTGTATCAACTGCTCTAAGGCAAGATGCTCTTGATCCACTCCACAGCACGGCGGTACGTGCCATAAGAAGCGTATTTTCCATCTGCCCGGGATTGTCAACTTAATGTTACATGTCAGGGAATGGTAGAGATAGGAGACTCACACTTTCCGTAGTTTCCATAGGCGCCGTAGTCGACTTTATTCTCACGCTTGTAATTTCCGTACGTGGCGTATTGCCCGTCTGGAGGATTTTAGCTATGTCGCTACGCTAACAAGAGTACTGAGAGGTTGACTTACACTTGCCATAGTTTCCGTAGGCGCCGTATCCAACGTCTTCGCTGTCCTCGTCGTCGCTTTCCTCGTCGTCGCTTTCCTCGTCGTCCCTTTCCTCGTCGTCACTTTCCTTATCGTCGTTTTCCTCGTCGTCACTTTCCTTATCGTCGCTTTCCTCTTCGTCACGCTTTTTCTTAGCATAGGAACCGTAGCTGGTGTCTGGAGTGGTGCTGATGATTAGTCATAGAAGAATGGAGACGTGGATTATGTCTTTGTGGGCTACTAACATGGTCCGTATTTCTCGTCTGTAGATGGACTGAGATTAGTACCAATGTGGGAGCCGGAGTAAATACATCTCATATTGGGCCGATCACTCACAGTTTCCATAGTCACCCTTGTCATCGATCGAAACACCTTCTACCTTTGGGGCGACTTGGCTGTCTCGCTTATAGCTTCCATCTGTATAATGGTAGATTAGCCTGCTAGTCTGCTTCACAGCATCATTATGATGACATGAAATCGAATTGGCCAAAGATGGGAAGACTTGAAAAGGGGCTGCACTCACACGTCGAATACTTTCCGTCTGCGTTGCCGGTAAAGCAATTGTTAGCAATTCATCTCTAGTGCCCTCAGAACCCTGGATAGTTCACTTACACTTGCCCTATAAAACCATATGTTAGCATTTGCTATTTTTATAGTGCTGAGAAGTATATAAGAGGCTTCATGTTATAGTCTACAGCAAACAGCAAAGCTTTTTGATAGGATTGGGAGATAGTCGTTATTGGGTGAACAATAAAAGATGAAATGAGGACATTACGATCTTACATAGCGGCTGTAATCCTGGTACTCCTTCCTTGCTTCCACAGCTTCGCCCTTGGGTTGAGGTTCCGCGACAGGAGCGGCGACTGGGGACGCAATCACAGCGGCGGCGGAAATGAGGGTGATGAGAGTGGCGACCTTCATTCTGTAATGGTGAATATTATAAAGCTTAAATGAGACGGAATAGGAGCTGTTTGATTGACAATTTTGTAGAGATATTGTATGATCGGTGGTTTGTTGATGATGCTATTGAAAAGTATCAGAGAAGTGTTGCATTCTCTTCTTCTTATAGAACCTGTTAATCTCCCAAAAGGACAATTCGGCTATTGCCGCATTGCCGCGCCGAGTCCTGGCTTGGAGAGCTCCCAGACGTACCACGTCAGCGGTAACAGATGCAACGCCAGGAGAGGGTGGCAGCCAGGGGCCCAAGCCCAAGTCAAACTGACGGGCTGAATGCATAGGAAAATCAATCACAGACTATTTTCAAGAATGTTCTAGGCTCTCTTGCTCCATGTCAGCAACGAGCATCTCATTGCAGCCCGTAAGGCGTCACGTAAGCTATAGACGAGACCGGATAGGTGATGCCCAGACTCTACGAACAACCAGAAGTGCTACCAAGTTGCTCAAAGTCGCGCATGACGCAATAGTAAGGGAACTATCAGTTTGACAAGCTCATGTCAACGCGGGGCTCTGTTGAATAGCTACCTGCTAGAATCTCGGCATGGTCAGCTCCGTACGTCTGTTGCAGCGGAAACCTGGACAATAGTCTGCCGATAGTCTCGGATTCACAGTCTCAGCTTCATGCAGTAGCTGTGGTGGATCTTCGTTTCCAAGCACTGCCGAATGAAGCTGTGGGTCTAGAAGTCAGAGCCCCAATATCTAAATAAAGAAACAGGTTGCGTTGTAGTCCGATGATCCTCATTGGTGCAACCGACAGGCTTAACCAAGTAGCTTTAGACTAACTCGTCCTTGTCAGCATATGACAAATGCATAGCTCTTTGTAGCTGTGGGTGGGTGCCGTAGAAGTTAATGTGGAGGATGCTAGGAAATTTTGGCATTTGACTATTGGAATAAGCCCACTTCCATGTTGGAGGTTCAGTTTTGGACTCGGCAGCTTCATGTTTCGAGAAATTGATAGCTTGATGGCTAACATCCTACTAACTAGCGACAAAATGCTTGATATGTTATAGTGTAACTCTAACTTATGTGGTAGAGCGATTGAGTTTAGTGCAATATGCCAGCTTCAGCCTCAAAGACAGCCAGTCAGACGACTAGTCGGCCGAAAGGTCCATGAGAATCCCAAGAACTACGCCGACAAGGAAACACCGTACACTGGCGGATGGATCAAATGGGAGCTCCGATGTGACGCACACATGTGGTCAAATTCTTGACTCGGAATACTTCCTGCTTGGTTTCCTCTTCATCATAGTTCGTTGTTATTCTGAGCTTGCAGCTTTCACTCCCTTGCTTCCCAGTGTACAGCCTTTTTCCTACTTTCTCTTCCAATTATCCAAAATGCCTCATCAACTGGAAAAGGATGAGCAACATCGGTCACTGACATCTCAATACGAAGACTCAACTGACGATTGCGAATCCGAAGTATCAAATATTCCATTTCGGCATCATCCGTGGCGAACGAGATGGCAAGCAAGCAGCTATTTCTCCTTGGCGCTATTCATCCTCACAGTGGTAATCTCAGCAATACTTGGAGCATTGTTGGCATTCCACAGCATCAATCTTGACATAGAGTGCTCCCATCATACCACGCAGTACTGTAAGTGAAACTGAGACAAGACTTTTGCAACAGGAATGCTCACACACGAATCAGCGCCCCTGCTCAAAGATCTCGATATCAAGTACGACTGGGAATACTTCAACGGTTCCTTCAAAGCCCAAACCATCTACCGCCTGCCCGGCTCTCCAGAAGTAGACGAAGCATGGGAAGCCTTAGGCGTAGACTGTAAGTCTTCCCCGTCATGTGTCCATCCCCCCTCGGACCTACCAACTAACCGCTCTCTCTCCCTAGCCCGCGCATCCATAATCCCCTACTCCGAAGGCCTCCTCTCCGGCCTAAACCCGCACCACGTCCAAGTCTCCCCCAAATACGGCGGTGGTTTCTTCGTCAACGTCGAAGGCATGCACCACCTGCACTGTCTGAACCTTCTGCGCAAGGCGCTCTGGTACAACTACGAATACTACAAAGACCTCGGAACGCACGCCTTCAAGAACGAGGAGTACATTGTGCGTTTGCACGCGTCACACTGTCTCGACACGATTAGACAGGTGCTCATGTGCAATGCCGATACGGGAGTGCTTGGGCAGGTCTGGTATAACCCTAAGGACGTCAGGGCGTTTCCAGATTTTCAGACTAGACATAAGTGTAAGAATTTTGATCAGATTCGGAGGTGGGCGTTGGAGCATCAGGCACCTGGGGAGGAGGAGATGCCGGAAGATTTTCTGAAGGCGCCGAGACGGGAAGATGTGTTGAATGTTGATATCTGAGGGGTACGTCTGTGAGGGAAGGAAGCATAGTACGGTGCTTGGTTTGGCAGATCATTCATTCGGTTGTACGATTACCCCAGGGACTCTGTGGGGAACGCAGGAAGTCCACAACACGTGTGTAGCTTATGCCTAAAAACAACCTGTGTAAACGCGTTCTGAAGAACCCGAGAAGTGACGATGCGGAAGATTCTGGACCAAGAATTAGCCTTCAAGTGTGAAAGGGGTGATCAGTTAGAAGACGATACATTATTAACATCACTTTAATATTATTGTAAGACGTTATTCTTCGTATTTAATGTGCTCGGTTAGAAAAAGCTCGCCTAGCCATTATTGGTGGCACAGTCTAGTGTCCACAACTTGCTAAATAAATAGTCGTCAAAGGGTTAAGTACACCTTGACCTTAACCTCGGGATATTTTACAATGCAACCGGGTCGTCTTAAAGAAGTGCACTTTGTATAGCCCAACGATCCTAAAGCTTAGAATCAGTGCCAGTCTGTCCAGTGCCACGGGTCCCGTTTGTTACGTCTAGTTCCGTATCCTCCGTCAACAGACTGACCTCAAAGACGTCTTCAAGCCTCCATAGCGCCGGTGTTCCCGATGTATCTGGCCGTTCTGTCTTGTTTCTCATTCTTGAAGGTTCGTCCGCATCGCATGAAGACTCCCTCCTTTTCCCATCCGCTTTAGGTTGGGGGCTTTCATCAGGGAGCGAAGCGGATTGTCGTTCAACCGGGGGAACAGGTATTTGCGTTCCTGATGTAGCCGGGGGCTCTTTCTTATTTCTCTTTCTTGAAGGTTTATCTGTATCGCATAGTGCCTCCCTTTTTCTTTTCAAATCCGCTCTGGGTTGGGGGACTGACGCGGGTTGCCGTTTGATAACAGGGGGAGGCATTCGCGACGCTTTGGTATTGGAAGAGGGAAATATTACCTTGGGATCCGCTGGTGTTGATGTAACATACTGGCTGTGAGTTTCGCCTCGTTTTCTCTTGTTTTGACCAGCTGCTGCAGGAACCATTGTCACATTTCTAGCCTTCCCGGCCCGCCATTGATTCGGGTCTGTCGATACATCTGGATTGGGCTGGAGAGAGTTCAGAGACGGTTGTACGCATTTGCCCAGGAAAATGGTCTCGGGCGTCACGACATTCACCGTTTTCCCTGACACTTTCTCCTTTGATGCAGAAACCTTGCTTCCACCCCTCGTCCGCGTGGGCTTCGCCTTCTTATTCTTTCTTTGCTTCTCCCAGTCATCCCTGATCATCTGGCGAGCACCTTGGCGGATGAAATGAACACCGAGACTTTCGGTGTAATGGTTTTTGGGCGTTAGGAAGAACCCAGCGTCCCTAGTGACAACTGCACCCTCGACCTTGCTTAAGTCCAACATGGAACACGACCCCTCGCGGCCTACCCATACACTCATGTCGAATCGGATCCCGCCCTCACCCCATGGATTTTGTCCATTCGGGATCCCAAACGCTAAGTGTCCGGTATTCTGTCGAATCATTCGTCTCACGAAGTTGCTCACCGTCACTTGGTTAACTTGTTCCAGATCTGAAGGATCGGTCGGCATATCATCTTCTTCGTTGGTGATGAACTGGTCCAATAAGTCAAATCTCTTGAAGGCACCGTCGACGACGAACCCAAAGGTGCTCTGGATTCCAGGCGGGCAACCCATGATGAGTGGTTAACTTGATGTAATATTTATTGTACTTCAGGGCAAGATTCATGACCCAGAAAGGGAAATAAGGAAGTTTTAGCAATCGTTCTACACGGCTGTTAGAGGGCACCTAAATACACTATTAGCAGTATGTGTTGGTAATAGATACCTGGATGGCCACTGATTGAGCAAATGATCCCTCGACATTCAGTCATCTGTGCGATGTTAGGTGCAAATATTCGGGGCTCTGGAGATATGGAATAAGTCATTTGGGTATCGCAGCCGAGTTTTCTTTATCCTTGGTTTTGTTGGTTAGTCGTGTAAGTATGATAAAATTGCGTTTCTTTGTACTTGATTGATACATGATAGCAACTGTTTGTTCTCCAAAACACCAACACAACGGTATTGCCGAATTCTCTCCGGTGTAAGTAGCTATTATTAGTAGGAAAATGATCATGAGATGCCCGGCAAGTGTTTCCATTCGGTCACCCGATGATTCGTCATCATCAATACCGTCGCCACGATATAGAACAAACAGAGGTCGTCCTCCTGTTCACAGAGCCATTTGGCGAGTACCATGAAGGCAAGAGATTTGCTAATCATTATACTTAGACGTCGAACTTTCAGTCTCGAACCAAGTACTTCTGCAATGGAGGTACTTGAATGCCATTATGATGCATTTTTAGTACATACGACCATAGGCTCCAGAGAACTCGGGATCCCGTCCGCTCTCCCATAGATAAGCTGGAAACCGCTAGATTAGTAGTTGGGTGGGTGACCACCAGCGAATCCCTAGTGTTGTATGTTTTATTTTTTAGTTTCATTAAACATAACTAGTATGTTTCTGTTTGAGGAGACATTGACGTAATTCTTTTGCCCTGTAGCTTGAACAGAGTTAACTATAGTTAGTGCCTCTAATCTCCGTAGAAGTTATGCGAGACTTGTGTTCAGTAGTGCGTGTTCCTAATTAGTGGACTGGTATAAATTGATAAGTAATTTCAAGAAACTTTTAGAAGTGGGCATCCTCTGCCTACTTAATTTAATACATGAGCCGAAAATAGTACATACGACCATAGGTTTCAGAGAACTCGGGATCCCGTCCGCTCTCCTATAGATAAACTGGAAACCGCTAGATTAGTAGTTGGGTGGGTGACCACCAGCGAATACCTAGCGTTGTATGTGTTTTTTTTATTTCAAATATAATAAATACTATGTTTCTGTTTAAAGAGAAATTGAAGTACTTATTTTGCTCTATAGCTTGAACAAAAATAACTATACTCAGTGCCTCTTATCTTTATAGAAGTTGTGCGAGGTTTGTGTTTAGTAGTACGTGTTCCTAATTAGTGGACTGGTATAACGTGAATGTACACCGAGCTGGCCACCCTTACATAACCTCGCATAGAAATTTTACGATAGTAAAACCACAACGCCGTAAATCAATTGAAACTACTCTGAATCTTCCTCTCCAGAAGATTGCAATGCGATCTTACAAGTTCGCGCATTATGCCCAGTCCCGTTGCAAATACCACAGCGCCTCGGGCGCGTTTCAACACGCTTTGCGCGACCACCATTTCGGCGCTCTTCTTGCTGTATCTGCGTCGCCAACTCCCTAGAGTCCCGTAGGTCCTGTCCTTCTTGGAAAATAAGTGATTCTCCTTCCCGTAATTGCATTTTTTTAGTCCTCCGGCGCCGGCCTAGCATCTTATTTGCCTCTCGAAGCTCAGCGCACTCGGCCCGTACGAGGGCGAGCCGCCGTTTTTACGCGTTTGGAGGGTGCTTCGGGGGACTTGGTACGTTTTTGCCGCTTGTCGGAGACTAAAGTTTTTGGTCATTTTTGAGAGCTTGAAGGGCTAGCATTAAATCTGCTTTGTTGTATGACTTTGCCATAATTGGTTGTTGAGAAAATCAAACATTAAGTTGGCCGGTCGCGTTGGCGCATGAAAGTGGCCAGCTCGGTGTCATGGCCAGCTCGGTGTACATACACGTTAAATTAATAAGTAATTTTAAAAAACTTTTAGAGGTAACTGTCCTCTGTCTACTTAATCTGATTTAAAACTTGAAAATAGCACATACGACCATAGGTTTCAGAGAACTCGGGATCCCGTCCGCTCTCCTATAGATAAACTGGAAACCGCTAGATTAGTAGTTAGGTGGGTGACTACTAACGAATCCCTAGTGTTGTATGTTTTTTAATAAAATAAATACTATATTTCTATTTAAGGTGATGGCCATATTCTATTCCTTCAATCTACGGATTACAATGAGACCTCGAAAGTTAAACGTGCGGTCGACAATCTTCTGTCTACATATCAGCCAGGAAAAGGGCGAGGGTCGAAGGTGGTACCAGATTGCCTGCTTTATCAAGCTTCAATGAACGATCATGATGTCCCTCTCTGATCACATATGTCAATGGAATGGAGTACATGCTGAAGGTATCGTGCTCACTCTCATGTCAACATTTCCACCAAAGAACAAAAGTAATTAGACGTCTAGGCATCTAGCTTCCAGCATGGCCACAGTCACTTACATCGTCAACAATCCTGCGCCTGAAGCGCGTAAGTCTACGGTCAGCGATCTATCAAGTTCATTTGACACGGAAGAAGATGATGAGTTTGGTGTCAACGGCACATTTCCCTCCCTCGAAGTCTTATGGGAACGGGAAATGAAACGAAAGGCCGAGGCTCGTCAAAGTAAGTCTATCGTGCTGAGCCCGTCTCTATGAAGCTGAGCAGACGCAGATCCCGAGATTAGCTGCCGCATCACGCCATTGATCGCCTCATCGACAAGCTACCGGGAGGATGTGATTGACTCTGCTAAGGGTTGCTCAGCATACAGCGATATAAAAGCCGGCCGTGGTACGCAGAAAAGTAGAAAGTCTCAGTACTTGAATTAACCAAGGCGTTCCCGAAGGATAGCAAACCAGCGGGCATATGTAAAAAATACAACGCAGTCACAGTAGGGGGGGGTGACGACAAAATGAGCAACAACGGTCATGAAAGGACTTTTTTACTGCGAAACTCGGCGTTTGCGTCCAGTAAATCTTCCTTAAAGCTGGCGCTGTTCCAGAATTGACTATGTGATCGAGTCTTGCGTTTCGCCTTAGTTCCGTTCTATGATCGCTTATTAGGCATAGGAGTATTGATCGGTTCGCGCATGTCTAATAGCCTAGATTACTCACTATAACGGGACACTAACATTATTTTGCGCAATGGTGTTACGGAAGGCATAGCTTGCAACCTATCGCAGTTGTTGGCTGGGAATTGTGGGTGTTGGCATTAGTAGTTGGGTCGGTGATGACCAGCGAATCCCCGGTGTTGTATGTTTTGATATTTTCTCCTGCTCCTTTTTAACTAGAACATGTGGGATTGAGCGCCATATGTGTGCATGAGGTGGTGCCTGAGGTGGTGCCTAAGGCAGTGAAATCGCTTGTGTAGATAAAAAGGTCGGCACCTGCCTACCTACCTTAGATGTAACTTCTTACAGAGCACTCCGAGCAGTCAATACACACATCACACTGCGCATCGAGCATCATAACCAATACAGGATCTGTACAGAGTCATCATATGAGGGTTGAATCCCTCAGCACAAACATTAGTGGATAAATACGGACTTTGGACTTCCAACTGACCACCGACAGCAGGGCTTAGTGACGACCGATGAGAAAAACCCGCTAATAAAAAGTGGCTCGAGAGCTTATATAATGGCCTTTTAATGGTTATAATAAAATGTTTTGAATTTAATTAGAATAAAGAAATGATACAAGCTGCAAGAACAATAGGTACAGGTTTAGCTACTACTGGTTTAATAGGAGCAGGAGTTGGAATTGGTGTAGTGTTTGGTGTATTAATTCTAGGTGTAGCTAGGTCATGTTAGCAAACTTGAATGGTATGCCGGATCAACTAATATCCCACCTTATTTTCATCCAATAAAAGAGCGATATATTCGAGTAATGACTTGGCCCCCAAACTCTCCAAACCTTAATCCTATAGAAAACGTATGAAATTGGATAAAGGACTAGATCGAACACAATACGACTGGGATGAGAATCCCTCGTAGAAACGGCTTGGGGGCTGCGTTCAAGAAGCGTGGAGGGCTATATAAAAGGAGTGCTACGACAACTACTCGCATCGATACCTTTGCGATACGAAGATAGTATTAAAGCTGAAGGTTATTATATAAAATCGAAGTGATATTGCCTGCATATTTAAAATTACCCTTCAGACCAAGTAGAAGTTGTCCGAGGCTTGTGTTCGGTCGTCAGCGTTCCCCACTGGTGAGCTGGTGTAAATTGATGCAGTGACATCTAGAGGTGAGTAGTCTCTGCCTACTTGATTGAGTTTACGACCCATTGGTAATACATACGACCATAGGCTGCAGAGAACTCGGGATCCCGTCCGCTCTCCCATAGATAAGCTGCAAACCGCTAGATTAGTAGTTGGGTGGGTGACCACCAGCGAATCCCTGGTGTTGTATGTTTTTGCTCTGTTTTTGCCCTCGGCCGTATGCTAGATATTATGAATATCCGTAGCTATTTTTGGTCTCGCTAGAGTCCTTATCCTCAGTCCTAACGTTATGTTTTGTGGTATAATTGATTTTAGCTGTACTTGGATGTCTATCGCCCTTGTTCTAGGTGTTGCTATCCGAGCTCAAGGGAGGCTCTAGAGTCCTACATAAGCTTCACTAACACCATATCCTAACACATACGACCATAGGCTGCAGAGAATTCGGGATCCCGTCCGCTCTCCCATAGACAAGCTGCAAACCGCTAGATTAGTAGTTGGGTGGGTGACCACCAGCGAATCCCTGGTGTTGTATGTTTTTATTTTACTGTTTTTTTTTTAAATTTTTTTAAAATTTCCATTTTTGACTGATATTATTTTCATGTTTCTCTTGTTTGAAGGCGAACGGTCGAACTGCCCTCAGGAAGGCATGCGATGTACGGGCTCCAGCGCGCGATACGGAGCGCCGACGGTGCTATGAGCCGACAAGGCCCCCACACGTACCGGGTTCTCCACCCA